TTTCACGACCTTCCTCCCCTGGAGAAAATGGCTCCCCCAACTTCCACACTTCCCTCTTACCGGGCTCCAACCCATTCTCCACAGGAGAGCTAGAAAGGCTTCTACAAAAACCCTTTGGTGGCCTCCCATTGCACAGGCAATAGAAAACATGGCTGCCCCACCCTGCAGGGCTCTGCCTAGCCTGGCCCCTGAGGCTTTTCCAGCAGAGCCCTTGAACTTGTGTCACCTTCTACCAGGGCCACTCTCTTCCCCTTCCCCTAAAGTCACCAATTCACCCTGGTTTGCCTGGCGCTTTCCTTTTAGCATTGAAAATCCTACATCCAGGGAAACCTCTCATTGCCCAGCAAACCAAAGCAGTGGATCAAGCTACTTTTTATTCCCCAGTCCACACTCCTAATCTGCCACACCCATGCTTCTGCAAGGTCTTATCCTAAAAGCCACTTCCCAGAGGCCTGGCTCCTCCCACCTCCCCCAAGCCCACCATATCTAAAGTGGGTCCTGACTGCTGTTCTCTCTCATGACAATTCTTTTGCTTGAGGCACATTTTAGTTATTTTTCCCTTCATTCACAATTATTTACTGAATTTCTCCTATGGGCCCTGCATGGTGTTATGGGCTGGGAAGCAGGAAGCTGAGTAGACAAAGTCCGTATCTTCAGAAGCTTACATCCCAGTGAAAGGCAAGAGTATAAGCAAATGAATCCATAGGTGAAACACACAGTATGTTAGGTTACAAGTGGGTGTGAGAGAGAAAAACAAAGCAGGGAGCAGGGTTAAGGATGCTGTTTGCAATTTTCGATAGGGGAGGCCTAATTGAGTTTACATTTTTATTAAACCTAAAAAAAAAAAAAAAAAGATAGGGAACAAGGAAAAGAATTCCTGAGGGGGAAATGTTCCAAACTGATGGAACCGAAATCCAAAAGCCCCGGGTAAAGAACAGCAAAGAAGCCAGGATGACAGGAGCTGAGGGTGCAGAGGAGAAGTAGCAGGAGGTGATGGCAGAGGAAGTGTGGCTCATGTGGCTTTCATGCTGAGCGAGATGGGAAGCTGAGCTGGGTTTGAATCAAGGGAGTGACATGATCTGCCTTACGGTTTAAAAAGGGCACACTATGTTAAGTAAAAAAAAAAAGTCCAGACACAGAAGGATTCCACTTATATTCCACAGAATAGGTAAATCCATACAGACAAGCAGCAGACTGGTGCACGCCAAAGTCTGGGGGAAGGGAGAGTGAAAGTAACTGCTTAATGGATTTCAAGTTTCCTTTTGTTGTGATGAAAATGTTTTAGCGCTAGACACACGTGATGGTTGCCCAACTTTTCAGCTGTGCTAAATGCCAATGAATTGTCACTTCAAAATAATTTCATTTTACATGAATTTAACTTCAATTTAAAAAAATGGCGTGTCTCTTATGGCATAATGAATTATCCAAAACATGAACCCAGTTAACATGTATTACATTACACGGTTTTTGAGAGTCAGGAATCCAGGAGGGCTTAGTTGAGTGGTTTTGGCGAGAGTAGCTCATTGGGTTTTAGTCAAGATGTTGCCCATGGCAGCAGTCCTCTGAAGGCTCGACTGGGGCTGGTGGATCTGCTTCCGGGATGGCTCCTCATATTGCTCTTGGCAGAAGGCCTCAGTTTCTTGCTACATAGATCTCTCCATGAGCCTACTTGAGCATCCTAAAACATGGCAGATGGTTCCTTCAAAGTGAGTGATCCATGAATGTACAAGGCAGAAGTCACAATGTCTTTTATGAATTAACCTAGAAAGTTTCATACCATTATTTTTACAATATCCCATTTATTGCACACGTCAACCCTATTCAGAGTGTCTGGGACCTATACAAGGATATGAATTCCTGAAGCAAGTATTCTTAGACATCATCTGGAAAGCTAGTGACCACATCCCATTCTCCCTTACACAGAGATAATCATGAATTAATGCATCATCCACTCAGCCTAAATTTGATCACCAAAAGTGGAATTCAGGAGGCAGCCTTGGGAAAATGTGATAGAAAGCATAGGAAACATTGCATGTGAATAGCATCTGTTGGGGGAATGAGTAGATCATGACTGAATATATGCAGAACTTGCTTCATGCACATGTGTTATAATGAGAACCTGTATCTTGCAACAATTTCCTGGAAACCCCAAGTTTATCTGAGGCACGACTCTCCTAGTAATGGGAGTATTTCTCTCTGATAATAAGACATCTAACTCATAATGCGGATGTTGTAAGGGAACTAGGGAAGGGGACTTGCCCCCTCTTCTCGTCTCCCAGTTTTCTTTCATGGGTTATTACATACTAGCACACAGCTTCCTCAACAGTTCCTAGGCCTGTCCTACTGCCCAAGCCCAGGGCTACTTCCCTCCCTTCTCTGAAATGGCAACTTTGCCAAGGTTGCAACCCTCAGGGCCCAGAAGGTACTCCAACAAGACAATTGTGTCCTCTCATGAGTCAGAGCTTCCAAGATCCTGCCCCAGTCAGATTGCTGACCAGCACATTCCTGAAAGTTAGCCAGATCACTGAAATGTTACCAAAACCTTGACTTGGGTATAACACTATTTGGATGCCTTCATGGAAGCAAGAGAGCCAAAGGCTGGCCGCTTTTCATTTGGAGAGAAAAAAAAAAAAAAATGATCTGGCTCTTTGAAGTTTTTAATTGAATTAAAAAAATAGAAATAAGATAATTCAGCTTTGTAAAAGACTATGTCAGCTGCCTAACAAGATAGGATGGACTGGGAACCCTGGCTACCAATGTACCTAGAATGAACTTCAGGAAGTGGGGTAAATCAAGCCAATGAGGTTGGGTGCACATGGAGAAAAAAAAAATAGCTCAGGATAGATAAGAGATGCAGCAAGATAATGTGTGCTAAAATACTGTGCCTACTCAGAGGTTCCACTTTAGAGAAAATATTAAGGATGAAAGAAAAGGCACAGAAACATCCAGGGAAACGAAGCCAGAAGGAGAAGAGATAACAGGAGCACAGAGCCCATGGAGCTCTACAAAGGTGGAAAGATGGGAAATAGCAGTACGATTACAGGGATAAATATAGAAGTCTGCCTTTCAGAATGAAACTAGAAAGTGAGAAATAGGGATGAGGAAGTTTCTGGTTTACAGCAGGCAATAAGTACATTAAGGAGAATATCAAAGCATGTTTAGCAAACACCAAGGAGAACCAGAGATCCGGCAAAAGAGTCTTGTTCTTGCCAAAGTTTCCAGGATGCAAGATAAATGGCAAACAACTTTGCAGACACCTGACTTTTATTTTCCTTTTTCTTCACCTCCTACCTTCAAATCCAAGAATGAAAATATTGCTGATGTCTCTCTGCCAGCCCTGCAATTGATCATAACTGGAGTTTATAAAGAGGGCCATTTTTCTTCGTACATGCTATGCTGATCAGATTTTAATTGGCTTCCTCATTCATATTGTCATTACATACTTGATTCCATTATTTGCCATTAAATTCAATAAATATTTACTGTGCACTGACTATTTACCAGACACTGCTAAGTACTTCAGGAGATTCAGAGATAAATAGTATACTATCGGTGCAATCTGTTCATTTATTCACTTAACATAGATATTTTTAAAAACCTACTCTGTGTCAGGTACTGTTTTAAATATTAGACACTAGAACTACAGCAGAGAACAAAACAGTCTCTAACCTCACAAAGTTGATAATCAAGTGACATAAACGCACAATTTAACATCATGATCAGACAACCGTACAAATAGATATAACATAGTAAAAAATATAAATAGCCAGAGTAAGGTACAGGCAAGGAACTGTGATGGTTTCAACGACTTTTTTTTTTTTTTTGGTATTTATTAGAGATGATGTTTCACCATGTTGGCCAGGCTGGTCTCAAACTCCTGACTTCAGGTGATCCACTCTTAGCCTCCCAAAGTGCTGGGATTACAGGCATGAACCACCACACGCAGCCTCCAACTTCTTTAATAACGTCTTTAATAATTCAATAACAATTGAGTTTGTGGTCTGTGCATGGTGTTTTGAAGCGCTAAAAGCAAAAGAGATATGAGTATGATATTATCTGAGCCCTGGGTGACCTATAGCCCCCAAAATACAACTACTTGTTGTTCTTGTGGCCAATTTTTATTAAGCACTGTGAGGACTGAGCTGTCTGTCTTTCCTCCTTGGGTCATTCCAGTGCCCAGGCTTGCCCATCCAGAACACATGTTCTCAGAAGAAATCCTGTTTGGCTCTGGCCTTCTGGAATTTGATCCAGGTAGCTGGGCCACCACCAGTCAGAACTTAAGAGGAAAAAAAATATATGAAAAGGCCTAACCTGATGCTTGACTTATCATAGAAAGGCAATATTTTCCCACTCAGGACTTCTAGGGCTGGTCAAAGTGTCCTTTATGGAAAAAATGTGCCCTGAAATGGGAGGCCAGAGGAGAGAAACAAACCATGAAGCAGGAGCAAAATATCTGGATAGCAGGCAAGTCCACCAGGGTGAATGCTTGAAGAGGTGAAATGAGGTCAGCTTGGTGGGTAGACAGAGGGCGGCACAAGGCCAGCCACATGATTTTTGGTTTGGATGAATAGCTGGACCAGATTGCTTTTCAGTCACTCTAATTGTGTAGTTCAGGTTCTTGGTTTCATGAGGTTTGTTTCAACCACCCACACTGTTAGTAAAAAAACTTTTAGGGAATTGAGAAGCAGAAACAATCAGCTCATTGATTTTTATATCAGAACTATTTTGTGAGATCAATGTTCGCAATGCTCACTTCAGTTGCTACGGTCATGGGCATGCCGGCCCACAAAGACTTGCTCGTATGCCGTGTTTACCTTGGAACCAATGTTTACCTTGGTTAAAGAAAAGTGATAACTGTGATTACATAAACTTGCCTTTTTTCCTCCCTGAATGGTGTCCAGATCATAGGAACCTACCCCAGAACCCCTTATCATGACAAGAGTTGAAAGGCATAGGACTATATAAGCCAGATTTAGAAAATACGTGGGACATAGAAAATTCTCCTGTGCATGCTGTTGCGTGGGGTGAGACACCATGAAACACCTTGTAAGTATATTTTCTAATTTCAAATGTAGTGATTATGTTCTCAGACCCAAAATAGCCAGGGAGAAGTTACTTTTCCCCATGGACTCTTCAAATTAAACTCAAATAGAATTTAGAATTTTCAAATATTAATTTGAAAAAACATAGCCTCTCTGTTTTGGAACATCTGAACAAAGAGTCTCTCCCAAAAGAAGTCATAACTAAATTCTTAAAGGTCCAGAATCTTTGGGGTTAGGTAGATATTCATATTTTAGGGTCCTCTGTTCCTAGACCTGTCTTATTTACAAATTTCCAGTGAAGGGAAGTTTCAGATATATTTAATATGTAATACCAACTCCAATAGTTCATGAAATAGTGTTGCTAGCTACAGCTCATATATCTCCTCTATTAACCTTACAGCATCGAGATAATTATTCATAGAGTAGCTGTTTTCTTTTCTTTTGTGTATGTATCTCACCTTCATTTGCTTTCATTGCATGTGGAATATTTCATGGGATATTGTGGGGTGAGGGAGAAGGTGAGCTCCCGAGCCCTCGGTAGACCAGATGATGAGCTGTGGGATGTGGAGAATCGTTCATTATGCACTTTCTCACCTTGGCTTGTTTCTGCCCACCAATTCTCTCTCACTTACTCTCTGATGCTTAAAATTTCCTCAACAAGCGAGGTAGGCCACACTGAGAAGAAATGATTAACTGCAAATATTTCAATAATTAATCACATTTAATTAGCACAATCTATTTCAAAATAAAGTGCAAAGAAGTGGTTCATGGTTTTTTATTCTCAGGCCAGGTGAAAAATCTAGAGGAAAGGAAATCAGGAGGATATCGGTTTCCAGACAGGGCAGAGAGGGAGTCTCGAATGCTTGGAAAGAGAGAGGAAGATGCAGAAAAAGAAGACTGAGAACCGGAGTTATCACTTATTTTACAATTTGGCCTCAGGTGGTCCTTCCCCATGTGCACATCAAGTGGTCAGTCAGGTTGCCTAATATTTAGCCCACTCATTAGCAATACCTGTAGAGTGAAGCAAAAGGTAACCTTGACTGAACTATATAAAGCTTTATTTCCTGAGTAGCCAGCATATCAGCCATACTGAGTGACAGTCTCCTGATACACCGGGTCCCCCATGCCATGAAAAATGATGAGAGTTAGAGATCATTTAAAGAAAGTTCCAGTCCCAGCAGGGCTTAGGGCTCTGGACTCTGAGCTCACCTGAAGCTAAAGTGAAAGTGCCCTGATAGTTGTTTCCATTTCAGGTTGTATCTTCCATCCTTGTGGTCTTCATCCTAACCCCATCTCTGCCCATGATGGTAAGTGAGGATGGAGAGAGCCCAACCTGTCTAGTGCTCCTTTAGCAGAAGGATTTTAAAAGGTGTTAATTAAGGGCAATCTCCTCAAATTTCCTGCAGGTACCCCTAAAACCTGCAAGGCATGGGCAAAGTAGGAACTCTGAACTTTCAACTTTTCTCACTGTTGCTTGGTTTTCTCCAGAACATCAGTGATAACCATCCTCTGGATGGATCTGTTGGGACTCAGAGTATTCATGTCAGCGCCTTCCAAGGTATGGTCAGCATCCGAGACAACAATGTTTTCAGTGAATGGGACGGAATCCTGGACTACAAGAATGTAAGATGAGAAGCACGTTTATTACAATGTGAAAGAAAGCCATGTGTGGTCCAAAATGTAGCTTTATGTTTTTTCCAGAGAAAAGAAGACATTTGCCTTCTCTAGATTTAGGTCCTGGATGAACATGTACATCATTAGGTAAGGGAACAGCTTTCTTGCAATTGCAGTAACTTCTTTTTGAGCCAGAAAATATAGGGGGAATTTCAGCTGGTCCTCAGGGACCCTACATCCCCTATATTCCTGTGAGGTGTTGACATCACACGGCCACCAAAGGCCTCTGATCTCAGAAGCCCCCATGTCTTGTAACTGGTATGTGCTGCAGAGATTATTTTGTCTAGACTCCAGATTTTAATGTTAATTTCCAAAGAAGAATGATATATTTTCATTTATTAGAAATCTGACTACAACTTACCCATCACTTTCAATAGTAAGAGCTAGAAGAGAGTCACAACATAGAGAAGGCTCCACCTGTGTGTGTGGCCTGGCTCTCTGACACACTATAACCACAGGGACATCACTTAGCCTTTGTGTGTCTCAGTTTCCTCATCCACAAAATAGCATCCATAGCTACCATTCCTACCTGGCAGGACTCTGAAGGGTTAAGTGAAGCAGAAGCCCACCCTCCTTGTTCCGTTATGCAAGGGGCCCTCTCCCATCTGACCCCACCCCCACCCACATCCATGGCATTCCCTCCAGACACTCTGGACATCTCAGGACAGACATCTCAGGCATAGGCTTTCTCTCTGCTCCCCCCTGTACCTGCTGTGCTCCCTTCCCTGACCATGTTCCTCACTATTCACCTAACCCACTCCTGATTTCCTCGAGGAAATGTCCCCTGAATCCTGTAAGAGGGCACACAGTCTACACAGGCTAGTGATTCTCAACTCTGCTCTATGCCATGGAGACTTTTCTTCAAACAAAAATATTCCACAGTAGTCTATGACACGGAACAGAAGAAGCCGGAACTACTCTGGCTGGAGGAAGGAGATGCAGGCGAACCTTGGACTCAGTCAGACACAGCTGGAGAACTGCTGCTCTGCTCCAGGCTGTGAGGGGCCAGAGGGCAGGCCTAGAGAATCGTGGGCCCATGAAATTCCACTGTCATACCAAGGACTCCAGGTGCAGTCAGTGGCTCATATCAAATCATAATTTAATCAAATAAATTATGGAAGGGGATGGTCAGTGGCAGATCCAGGGCTAGAATCTGAGTCCAGAAGACCTGGCCCAAGGTTCCTGACAACCTCGTACATTCAGAGAGCACGCTTTAATTTTCACAGTGCTCTCACAAGCTCTCACAAGTAGTTAGTATCTCCTCTCATCCTCCCGGCAAGTCCGTGGGAGAAGGGCTATTATTATTTCTGCTTTCAGATGAAAAAACAGAGGATCATGGAGCCCACTGAGGACTCTGACAGTTGCAGAACAGAACCTGCAAGCCAGCCTTATTATTAGATCTAACTCCCTGTCGCTCCCCTCCCACCTGTCCATTGTATGCGGAATGCCCTGAGAGATTCGTTTCCTCACCCACATCGGGGGCAGTGCCACAAAGCCCTGGAAGTAGCAGGGCTCTGCACGTGTTACCAGTCCTGATGCTGGCCTTTTTCTGGTGCCCATAGTGGCACTCTGCTGGGTGATATGCAACACAGTCAGAAAAGCAGCACACTGATAGACAGTGGGTGTCCATTAATATTGTGACTGCATGAATGACATGTTTCTGCTGTGTTGCTTTAAGGCCCTATTGGCAGCCAAGCTGTTTAGCAAGATGGCGTGTGTTCTGGCCAAGATGGACCAAGCCGTCTTCCCAAGTCTGGATGACATTAGCAAGGCCTTGGACAAACAGGTAAGTGAGACCAGCTCACTGTGGTACCCTTTTAGTTTGGTGTTTTCCAACTCTGCCTCCAACCTCCTAGGACAAAGACTTGGGTCATGCTTGCTCTTAATGCCCATGAAATTCCACCGTCATACCAAGGACTCCAGGTGCAGTCAATGGCTCATTCAAGTCAAATCATAATTTAATCAAATAAAAGTCCTATGCAGTGATCTCATGTTGATGAATTCCAGAAGGCTTTGAGCTACATGTTATTAAATTTAAATTGTTGAATGTAAACGTTAGAGTGAATTGATAGAATATTCACATTCCCCTACTTGCTTTCCTCCCCTGCTTACCCCCTAAATATATGCACATGTATTCTCTTCAGTTGAAAATAAGCCAGGACTGCTGAAGCGCTCTTCCCCTCAGCTTCCTAAATGACAAAGGTAGTCCAGTAAGTTAAAAACCAGCTGGTGGTCTTGGGCACGTTATTGAAATCTGCTGTCATTTGCTTACGCAGCCTGCACAGGACATTTCGCCAACACTGATATCCATGGCAGGAGGTGCTGACTCTCTGGGGGGGGGGGGGAGGATAGACTTCAGGTCATGTAAAAATAAGGCAATTCATCAATTTCTTTAAGAGAGAAGCTGAAAGTATCCCATCCGATTTAACAAGCAAAAACATAACATCATGCAACAAAAAAAATCAAGCATTCTATATTCTCATTAGATGTGAGAAAGCATTGAAGACTGGTGAATTACGAAGCTTAAAAGGGTGGAAGGAATGGACAGGAAGTCACCTGAACGCACAGGCAGATTTTTCTGGAGTAATGTCATCACCTTGTGGCCAGACAGAATATTGCAGTTAGAGAACCAACTCAAGGGTGTGTTTGGGTTCAGAGCTGTTTTGGTTAGTCTTATCACCCCCTGCACTGCCTCCACTTACTCATGGGCCAGGGTCTCGGGATCCTTTTTGTCCTGCCTGCTGTGCCACCCCCAAATGCTGTCTCATCATTTTGATGTGCCACTCCTTCCAGGCTTCTAAGCATTACCCATCTACTCGCGGCCTGACCTACACTGTTTTACCCAGCCGGGTCAAGAACTTAGCGCAGTATGGAATGCCCATCAAGGACATGTGCAGAGATGTCCCCACTTACTTTGCCTGGCAGCATAAAGAAGGTGTGTTAGCAATTTAACTAGAAACCCAAGACTGTGGGTGAGTTACAAGGCACAGTATGAATTTTAGGTCATTGACAAATTCTAATACCAGATGTTGGGTTTGTTCTGTTTATTTGTTACTGGATATAAAAATAATGAGGCCTAGGATGTATTCCCCCTCTGGTGGAGGAGATGATTTCCTGATAGTGGGACTTCTCAAGAATGGGGACCTGAGTTGAGTTAGCTTTATCAGGAGGTCACATACTTCTTTCTGGGGTATCTCTTGAGAAATTTCTTGAGAATTTTGGCCAAAAAAAAAAATCAAACAAACAAATCAAAAATAAAGACATTATCTGTAGCACAGACTTAGCTGTTGGGTCTGAGGCTATATCTTAGTCTCCTGAAAATCTCTAGATTCCAGAGAAGCCTGTGCTCTGTGGTGACCCAGGCTGTATCATGAAAATCTCATCAGTGGGACTTGAGAGTGGATGTATAGAAATCCTCACTTGACCCAAAGCCTCATCACCCCCTGCCAAGCAACACAGTGCCCAACATCCCATCATTAGAGTCCCATTGCTTTGGGATTCCCAGTTTTCCTCTTCTACAGGCTGCTCAGGGGTTGGAAGACAAAACTCTAATAGTTACAGACCACTCTGTAGAAGGAAAATCTCAGTGGCTGCACTCCTACTAGGGATGTGTTGGGGGATCAGTGGTAACCGGCTTGGAAATCTACTAGACAAGACTTAAAGAGCTGCTTACCAGTCCAGATAGTAACCGCTTCCCATTAGGCTGCTGCCAGTCAATTACATCTTAATGTAAGTTAACCCAATGAACAAGGTTTCTTGTTACGACAGGAGGATCCAGCAGGAAAACAGGGAGAACTTGAGAGGCTGGAATTCAGAAGGATGCTTAAGGATCACTTAAAGAAACAGAAAAAGGAGATGTGAGGCCAATGATTGCAGGGGAAAGGGAGAATAGGATCTTTCATTTTAGTCCCAGTCTTTTGCTATAAGAGCTGTCCTGAGCACCACAATGGTGTTAGTTACAACTCATAATATAGCCGCTCTGTTTGGGGATCTTAAAGTGCTATTTTTAAAAAATAAAATCCTTCTCTTTCTTTTTAAAGGTACTGCCCTCGCAGTTGATCCTGATTCTTGTTTTGAAGTCCAGCTTCTGTCCTTTATGGGACTCTCCATCTGCGGCGAGATCCCTGGGCTCTGAACCGCCGGGCTGACTGCGTAGCACGTGGACCCACCTGGCCTGAGGCCAGTGCTAGGACCCGGCCCTCCCTCTACCGGTGGGAAGCTGCTCCTTTTAGTCCTTTATCTTCTGCCTTTTGTCCCAATACCTGGCTCTGTAATCTGAAAAAGTGGGTCCACTTTCTCCCTCTGGGTTAGAGCAATAAAGTTTCTTGCCTCACTGGCCTAGCAAATGAGTCCTCGCTGGCTGCCCGGTCCTCTCTCGGCATTCCCTGCCGCATGCAGCCCAGGACCTCCCACAGCGGCATGGTACAAAGGAACTGGCACCCCTCTCCCGGGACACCCCATCTCTAGGGGCTTCTTTCTAGAGTATCTTTTGAGAAATATCTTGGGAATTTTAGCCAAAGAAAGAAAAATCATCAAACAAATAAAAAATAAACAAAGATACTATCCATAGCACAGACTTAACTGTTAGGTCTGAGGCTGTATCTCAGTCTTCTAATAATCTCCAGATTCCAAAGAAGCCTGTTGTCTGTGGTGGCCCAGCCTGTATCATGAAAATCCCTGAGAGAAAGCCAGGTGAACCTCTCTTTGGAACTGGCCTAAGCCCTTTAGTGGTAACTTCCAGGCATTTCTCTCCACTGCAAATGAATAAGGGCCATGGATTTTCAGCACTCTTTTATTATTTATTTATTTATTTATTTATTTATTTATTTATTTATATTTTTTGGAGACGGGATCTTGCTGTGTCACCCAGGCTGGAGTACAGTGGTGTGATCATACTCAATGCAGCCTCGGACGCCTGGGCTCAAGTGCTCCTCCTCTCTCGGCCCCCCAAGTAGCTACGACTGTAGGTCTGAGCCACCATGCCAGGCTAATTTAAAAAAAATTTTTGGTAGAGACCAAGTTGCTGTACCAAAAGCAGAGCAACTTGTTGCCCAGGCTTTTTAAATCTTTCTTTTTCTTTCTCTCTTGTTGAAATTGGACTTTGTTTTTTAACTGTCCATTCTTATACTTGGGAGGGGCCAAGCCACGCCTATCCAAACCACGGACATCCCTGGCTCCTCTCACCTCAGGAACAAGAATAAATGGGGAAGGAGTGTTGGGGACACATGCGCAGATGTCCACAGAAGGTCGTGCTGGAGTTTTGAGGACTAATAGAGCAGGATTGGGTGAGGTGTTGCATAGCGTGTGTGTATGCAGCAGGAGGGCTCTGGGGATGACCGCGCTGCTAGGAGTCAGTTCCGCCGAGGAGGTGGAGCAGTGGTTGGCTGCCTGGAGCCAGGAGTGAAAGGCGACTGCATCAGAAAGGCCCAAGATGAACCTGTACTAAGGTGTATACAGGATGTGGTTGGGCAAGCCAGGGGCTCTGAGCCTCTGGAGTTGGAGTTGGAGTTGGTCACATACGACTTGTTGAGGGCAAAGCAAGTGGAAATAAGTACACAGCCACATTCTATGTGGAAATCTTAGATGCAATATACCAAGGCTCGGTCACCCCAAGGCCCTGAGAGCACCATGAGGCAAGGTCTAGCCCCCAACGCTAAGCCCAGTGAATCCCCAGAGTCAAATCACCATGATTGTCAGTGCATCCTGTACCCACCTTATCCCTGACACCCAGCGTCCAGCTTCAACCTGAGCTCTGGGAAGCAGTCCCGCCTTGTCGTATGTGCCTAAGTCCCTGCTAAAGTTGCTAGATCCCCACTCCTGAGCCCTCTGTGATGGTGGGGGCCTGCTGCCTACTGACCACTCTGATGCCAATCTCCATCTTCTGGGCTTCTGAGCTTCAGCTGCTCCTGAATTTACCATTGCCTCCAGATGTCATCCAATTATTATAGCATACCTGTTACTTCCAGGGGACTTCAAGACCCCCTCACCCCCACACCATGCTTGTCTTCATCTGTAACTCCTCTGCAGTTACTTGCTTTCTAGCTGGGACTGGTTTCCTTCCAGAAATGCCAGGTTCAAGGCCTGCTGCCCTCCCGATGTGCATTGTCACAGTTGGCTGTCATTGGCTGGGCTATGATAGCTCCCTCTTGAGAAAGAGCCAGCACAGTCCTCTAGACCTTAGAGGACTTGTCAAGGTAGATTTGGGTCCTTATAAAGAATCTTCCATGCATACGAATTTAGGTCCTTTGGGAGTTGGGGTTGTGATGGCAAAAAATAGCATTCAAGATGTTGCCATCCTGCTGATAGCCATTGTTAACATTTATCCTCAGAATATATCTAATTCAGCACTCAGTGAAATTTGCCGTATTTGAATCTCAAATCGGTATCCCTTACCCAAATATATTCCATGTTTATTAAGTCCACAAGCCTTCTGTTTATAAGAGGATCATATGAACAATAATAACAGATTGTATGTTCCACCTGTGATTAAGGAACTTAAGCTTCTTGCTGAGTGCATTGAAATAATTTTTGAGTCTCTCTGGAAGTGCCTAAAAGTAGCTAAGAATGAGCCCAGTCATCCTCCAAGCAGAAAAATCATCTCTTTTCTTTTCTTCCTCCCTTGGGTCAGCCCCTGTCATTGACATTGGATGACATATTCAATGCTGTCTCAGAGCTGGGAGAAGGTGCCAGGGAACCAACAGCCCCCAGAACCCTCAGCTGAGCCATCTCCACCTGCTGCCCCTCAGTGGAGTGCTGCCTTTTGGGCCGACATTTCCATCTCTGCCACTGATCTGGGGAGCCTCGTGGGGGATTAAGGAGTATGAGCCCTCTGGATCTAATGCAGAAAGGGGAGGAGATCTAAAACAGAGGTCACATTTCCTGGCCTCCTTGTTTTGAGAAAGGCACTCCATTGTCAGACTTCCTTTTAGGGGGAACATCTTACATCCTTAGTTAGTCCTTTCCACCCCAGATGGTGTCACTTCTAATTCTCCTTGCCACTCCTGCTTCTCTGCAGCCTGGGAAAGAGCCAGCTGTGCCCAAGCTCAGGACCATGGGTATAGGTGAGTTGACTCACCAACCCTGGGTGGCAGCTGTCCAGTGTTCATTTTCTGGCTCCCTGCTCACTCTGTGCTCTTGTTTCCTTCCCAAGGGATCAGGAGCAGTGCCCCTTTTCCTGCCCGGAATATGCTGCTTCTTCTTGTCCTGCTGTCTGCTTGGGGCAGAGAGATCCTCCCCATAACTGAACCCATATGTCAGTAGTTATTCATGTTGAGCCCCTCCAATGGGCCGAGTTAGTTCGGGTGATGCTTTACGCACAGGCGGTACCCCAGCCATCTACAGCAGGTAGAGCTGTAACTATCCATGGGCTTACATCCTCCCCATCCCTGAAGGAAGACCACAGCACTGGGTCTTCTGGCCTGGCTCCAGGCACAAGGCAGCTGGAACCTGAGCCTTTCAGTGCTGATGGGCTCGAGCCATGGCCAACTTGTGTGTATCTTGAGACTGCTGAAGACTGGGTGGGCCTCCTTTTTATTTTGTGTTTTACATTTTAAAAATATATTAACATTTTTATTGCACTATGCAACAAAGTGCAGATTTTAAATACACAGCTCAATGAATGTTTACATATATACATCCAATGTCGCCATCAACCAGAGGAAGACGCAGAACATTTCCAATGCCCCAGAAGGTTTTTTCATGCCACTCCCAGGCAATGCCCAACCCTCACCCTTAACCCCAAGGGAGTGGAAAAGGATAGTAATGGAATTATCCTTTAATTTATCCTCAGCATAATAGATTATGCTGAGGAGCTCTCAGCAAAAACCAAACACACTCTGGCAAGTCTCTTGAGGTAGGGATCAACTTCAGACTGTAAGGGGTTGGCAAGTAGCCCCAGGATTCTCCCTATTGCTATTAGCTTGGGTCAAACAGGAGAAAAGAGAAGCTACAAGAAGACAGGATGACTGTCCATTGACCAGGCATTGTGTACTAAAGCTATGCCTTTATGGGTGTAGCAACAGTCACTTCTCAGAGGAAGACTGAGGGGTAAGCTGCATCATTAGAGGTGGTGAGGGGAGAACTCTTGGGGTGTCCCTTCTTGGGGTCATATGCTACTGCATGAGCTAGAAGGGCCATGCTGCAGCCAGGGAATCTTACCTAGGGGTTAAAAGCATGCTGAGGAAATGGGCTTACCACCTTAAAATGGGGTACACCTGGACCCTAAACTCCAAGAAGCCCTTGATTCCATTCCTGAATGTGTGCTGAGTTCTTCACATCAGAGTTGCTGCAACATCAGACATTTCCCGAAGAGCCCAGGGAGAATTAGGGACAGTGTCTGGACTGATTAGAAGGAATGGCAGGCCAAACAGAGCTGTCCAGTGAGCTTCAAGTGACATTTGCTTGAAGTTATCCCAGGAGTAGCCCTCAGTATTGGGTTTCTGCTGCATGAGTGCAGGAATGTGGTGAGCCTGGAACTTTCAAAGGGGCTTTAGGAGTAAAGGAAGTAGAGTCACCAGTGCTGAGGTGGGTCCAGGTCTGGAGGCATGTGTGCTCATTGGAGTTATCCAGCCTCTTTCAGGACTATCTGTAAGGAATGCTTTCAGCGGTGAAAAAAGAGAACTAAGTCCCAGTGGCCTAAACAGGGAAAGATTGATCCAGATCATGTGAGTACAGAGGAAGGCAGTCCAAGCTGGTACAGCTCTGGAATAATGCAGTCAGCCGTTCTAGCTCTTTCTTTCTTTCCTGAATCTTCCTTCTCTAGTATTGTTGCCTCATGGTCCTAAAATGGCCAATCATCTGACCCCAGGCTCATATCCTCATATTGAGGGAAGGATGACAGGAATGCCCAAAGAGCAGAGTCACATGCCAGCTGAGTCTCTTCTTCCTTATCAGGAAAGAGAAATCTTTCCTGAAAGTCCCACTTAGCAAATCTCTATTTACAACTCCTTGGCAGGAACCGAGATCATATGGCCACCCACTGGCCAATCACAGGTTAAGGAAATAATATTGCTTTATTTTCTTAAAAGAAACCAAGGCTGATTTAGCCCAGGCTTTCTCAGCCTTAGCACTGTAAGCATTTGAAGCCAGAACATTCTTTGCTGTGGGCCAGTGCCCTGGGTATTGTAGGATGTTTGGCAACATCTCTGGTGTCTACCCATTCGATCCCAGTAGCATACCCTCCAGCTATAGCAACCAAAAATGTCTCCAAACACCACTAGATGTCTCCAGGGGAGGGGAGCAAAATCACACCCCAGCTGAAAACTACTGATTCAGACCAATCATGATTAATTCTCTGGAACTAAATGAATACATTTTCTAAAATTAAGGGGTTTTTGTTATT